ATTGTCTGACTGAGGAAAAACCGCATAGTTCCTTCTCCTGCTCTAGCCCAGGGCCACAGAACATTATTGCTCTTGAACCCGCAACCCTGACTGGAAATGGGACGCTGGAGACTGATGCAGTCATCACTACATAGTATAAAACAAATTCGCTTTCTCTGTCCCTATATGTATAACTAAAAGCTACGGCTTTTGGTGCCATTTTTTTTAATAGATAGGTACTTAAGTATGTTTATTGCCAATTTATTTTTTGCAAAAACAAAATCATCAAATGACTTCTCCCGCCTAGGGTTAGGCGAGAGAGAGTGTCAGACTCTTACTGACTAAAAACCCCCCGTTACTTCTCCTTCTCTGGGCCGAAGCCGCGGTGACTCGCGCTTAACCCGCAACCCCGGCTGTAGGTTTATTGCCATAAGGATTCATCTTCGGCACTCAAAAAGACACTCACACGTGTATTATAGATCATTTTATTTGTCATAACATGAGTTACATGCAGATGGAACAAAGAAATATATTAAAGCACAGACATGTTTGGCCTTTCGGCGTACAAATATAATGAGTAGAGTTACGAATACGACGTAACATATCTTAACAAACGTTACCGGTTTTCATAATTTATTCTACCTACTAACCAAACACGAGTTACGCAATGTTAATAGGAATTTTATGTATTTTAAATCTTAATATTATAATAATGTCTTACGTAACGATCATTTACATATATTTGAATTTGACAGAAGAGGAGACATGTTAAAATTAGAACAAGAAACCATATTTTTTATGGCTTTTCGTACTTTGATTGATATTACTTTGTACAATATTAAGAGTATTTATTTGTATATTTACATAATATATTTTTTAAATACATTCCGCAAAACATTTTTTTTTTTGTTTACAAATTAATGACATTTCTTTTAAAGCATTAAGTTACTGTTTCATAATATAAACACTTAAAATAGTTATTTATTTTTGTCGGAATACCTAAAGGAACGAGGGTTATAGCTAAAAGTTATATTTAAAAAAAGTTGCAACAGTATCGTACTTATTTACTTAATTTGAATATATCACGAAAAAAAAAACGCTCAAATAACGGTGTCATTTAAATTTAATTTTGCAATGTTACCACAGCAAAAAAAACAAAGGTTAGATGAATAGGAAACAATTCTATTTGATGATCAACCTTGACATGTTTTTAAGTGTCTCTAACTTTTTACATCCGTTGATTTAATTTAATGATTTGTTTTGAATTTAAATAATGGTGGGCGCAATATTGCATATTATGATTCAATTTCTAGCACGTTCTAAAAGGTTAGCAACTGCCTAAGTATTTGATGACACGCGTTGACCTCGACCAAATAATATCCTTTATATTTCGCTAACATTTTGTTAATAACTAATTCATTATTTATGGACCAATACATTCTTAAATTAAACAAATGGCCTAGACTTATTTTTAGATTACAAAATAATAAAAAATTAGGTAATAATACAACAAACTTAAAAAAAATTGATTTAATTTTATGTACCTAAGCAATGCAGTATTTTGGTATTAGATTCAGACTGAGAATTTTATACTTATGAAAGTGTAAGCACTAGGTATTAACTATAAAATAAAAATAATACAAGAGACCCACCCCCTCTGCAAAGTCAAAGTCAAAGTCAAAATCATTTATTCCAATTAAACCATCAATAGGTACTTTTGAAACGTCAAAATAGAAAAGTAGTCTGTCAGTCTGTTCGTCAGTGAAGCTAGGTGCTCATTCCAAATTGTAGATTCGAATGGAGAAGAACGAGCAAGAAACTCCATTCGTTACTCTTTTTTTTTTAAAAAAATTGTTTTACAATTTCAATAATATAACATTTATAGTATACATTAGTGTACCCTTATGTGAGAACAATGCAGAGACAAGTTGTTAAAAAAAAGAACAAATGAGGGGACCTATCATAAAATTTTACTCCTTTGTCGTCTCGAACATGGCGCTCACATATGCGTACTCACAATATTTAAGAGTGCTTCTATATAAACTTTTTGGATATTTAAATTAAGGATGCATTATTTTTGAGAATTTTACCTAACTGCTGACTATATTTGAGTATTGTCCAGTGGAGCCGAATCAACACGCTGCCAGGCATTCTTATCCTCAATATAATCTGAAAGTTTGTAGTATGCCTGTCTACACAATTCACGTTTAATATAAGTTTTAAATTTTCGTTCGTTAAGATTCAATACAGTACTTGGAATTTTATTGTAACAATTTACACAGAACCCCATAAAGGATTTCTGTACCTTGGACAGACGGAATCGTGGCACAGCCAGCCTATCTTTGCCTCTTGTATTAAAATTATGTCTATCGCTTCTTTTTTCAAATAATTGCAAATTTTTCCTTACATACATAATATTTTCATATATAAACTGACAAGGCACCGTCAGGATATTTATCGTTTTAAATAGTTCTCTCAGAGATTCGCGACGGGGCAAGTTATATATCGCTCGGATAGCCCGCTTTTGTAGAATAAATATTGATTCTACTTCCGCAGCTCGACCCCACAGCAAAATTCCGTATGACATAATGCTGTGAAAATAGCTAAAATAGACAAGCCTTGCTGTGTTCACGTCTGTGAGCTGTCTTATCTGTCTAACTGCAAAAACAGCAGAGCTTAGTCTCCCCGAAAGCGTCTTTATGTGGGAACCCCATTGAAGTCTATTGTCTAGTGTGATACCTAGAAACACTGTCTCGTTGACAAATTCTAACTTTTGCCCATTTAAAATTATGCTACAATCATTACTGTGTACGTTGGGCAAGCTAAATTTAATACATTTTGTTTTTTTCTCGTTAAGTGCTAAATTATTGACTGTAAACCAATTATGAACTTGATGAATGGAGCTGTTTACTTCGTCAAAATTATTAGAACGTCGACCTATTTTAAAAATTAATGATGTATCATCAGCAAACAGCACCATACTTGGCTCGGTTTTAAATAGAAATGGCAAGTCATTAACATACACTAAAAAGAGAAACGGACCCAATATTGAACCCTGTGGAACGCCCATTCTTATCTCAGAGCCCTGTGAGTTATAACCACCTACATGAACTCTCAGCTGCCTATCCTCTAAATATGATTTTAGTAGACGGAGTGCAGTATGTCTAATCCCGTAATGATCTAATTTCAGCAAGAGTGTTTCATGATCAACGCAATCGAACGCTTTTGAGAGGTCGCAAAAGACACCAACAGCATCCTGTGCTTCCTCCCAAGCACCGAGTACTTCCTTTATCAACGTGACACCGGCGTCAGTTGTACAACGACCTTTAGTGAAACCGTATTGTTGGTGATGGAAGATGGCATGTTTATCAAAGTGATGAAGCATCCGAGATAGCATTAACTTTTCGAACACTTTGCTAAGAACCGGCAGAACAGACACAGGCCTATAGTTGTTTGGTTCCTTAGTGTCACCATTTTTGAATAATGGAATAACTTTACTGTATTTACTGTATTAAAACTCGATATGTAATTATTGTAGTTGGTAAATACAATAGTCTGTGTTGTTATAGGTACCTACGTACTGATACAAATTCAAACAAAAGCTAGTCACGCAAAGCAATCGTTCGAATTTTATTGCACGTAACATGACATGTCGTTTACCTGTCTATGAACCGAGCATTTTTATTAAGAGACACACCCGTATTATAAATATGTATCTTTAAATAAAAAATGATTCATACGTAGATCCGATATTTTATTAACCAAATTTTCTTAATTATATTATAAATGCGAAAGTAACTCTGTCTGTCTGTCTGACTTTTCTTCACGCCTAAACTACTGAACCGATTTCTGTGAAATTTGGTATACCTAGACATATTATGCCCCCTTATTACAAAACAAGATTTATCTTTAGTCCAGGTTTAAATCATTGAGTCGAGTTTTGTACCTATTTTGAATCTTATTGTCATCTACCTTCAATTCGAAATACAAAAAGTGGCTCAATGGTTTAGTCCTAAAGTAAAACCTCGTTTTGTAATAAGGCCGCTTTAGTTTGGAACTCGAGAAAGGACATAGGATAGTTTTTATACTAAAAAACTGCAGGAAGTCACTATTCCACGCGAACAACTAGGTACTCCGTTCCCGTGGAAAAAGCTAGTTATACGTAACCTTAAATTCGTTTTTTGTTTTTGCCAGATTACCTTTTGTTTACTAAACAAGATTTGTCATCTCTAATTGTAAGTACCTAAGTACCTACCTATTATTAATTGCTATTTTATTGCACGTGTGTGCAGATCAACAATGTTTTTATTTATTACTGATTTTCGAAGTCTCAATCTGTTTTAAAGCTACCTGCGTATACGAAAACGAAATCTCTGTTTTTGGCCAGTGCTTGATTGCCAGTAGGTATTTTGTTTGTTGTTTTTTTTAAATAGAAAGTTATTTTTGTCTTTGTCGTGTTTTGTTACCTAGCTAAGTACATTTAACTTTGTTGTATGGTTTCTTAATTTAATATACAACTGTGTCATATTTGTACTGCGACAAACGTGTGGGTGTCTGAATGCTTGCTCCCATGTATCCTCTGTCATCAGTCGTTAATTCACAAAGACCTTGTAATGTAACCTCTACGTTTCAATATAGGTTTTATTATTTCATCACGTGACACATCCTAGCAGGATTTGATTTCGATTATTATCCTGAGCAACTTTCTCGGAGAAAGCCACAATAATCGATTCTTAAAAAAAAACAGTTGTCACGTCCGCAATTGTCTACCTTCTACTACTTAACTTATTTTTTGTAGATTCGTTTTAAATGTCAGGTCGTAAGTTATCATGAACTTAAGTTTTAATATACATAGTTTGTTTTCGTACTCTTATCAGCTGCTTTTAAGACTTCAGTTGCTTATAAAAAATATTTTAATAGCCCTTATCTGTGTGGGAACGACTTATCTTTAAATCTTCAAATAAAATGCATAGTTTATCATAAATTACTGCCCGGGTTCATATAATAACTTGTGTACTTACTGATTATTCGGCTCACAAATAAATTTGTGTCCATATTATTTAATATTTATGTAATACTGTCTGTCGTCACGTGCGCTTTCACGTAAAACATCAAATATATACTGTATCGTCTTCAATTTCACTATCATAACTAAACAAAGTATTGAAACTTTTGATCATGAATGAAACTGGCGTTATAAAATTATTAAAAGCACAAGTAATTACAATTTGTTTATAAATAAAGGCTTCACTGTCGATATCAGTCGGTTGCGCAGTGCTCACAAATGTCAGACGAGCGGCGCGAACTAGCAACCGGCAAATTACGACCGCGCACCACAGAAGGCGCGGCGACACTGGCGACGTATCGACCTCCCGCCATCACAATGAATGGTGGGCCAGCACACCGCAGTCTGCCGCTGCAAGCTCACTACTGCACTGCAGCTTTATTTCTGGCAACCACCCCGATACTTAGCACTATGAAAACATACAATTTCCTTTGCAAAAATGTGCCAACAACACGTCGGTGACATGCGAAATTCTGAGCCAGTGACCCGCTTTTGTAGACCGCGTTCAAGAATTCTGCGGTTACATTCATCAACCGCTTTTTCATTTCGGCTAGAATATTTTGTTTCTTATAAATTCTGAGAGTTTGTTAGCACGCATGCGTGAGTCAGGGACTCAGAGGGTTGCCGTCTGCCGTAACTCGTTTGTATCAGCTGATTAAATGACCTTGTTCCCACATTTTGGTCCACTTCTTTATTAGTTACTATCTCTTAGATTTAAAAGAAAATACTTTCCTTACATATACAGTTACGCCTCTGTCCTTGTCACTGGTTAGAACAATGCTGAGAGTTTGTAACCTTTAAGACTTTACTCATGGAGGCATAATGATAAACCTTTCAAGGTTGTCGAGTTAGGTCGCAGTAATCCCACGACCTAAGGTACGGGCGGATCAACCAACAATATTCATCATTTAATTTATTACCTGAAGTAAAAATTGTCGAGAACAGTATGCTTAGGTAATTATACTGCCCTGCTGTTTTCTGGCTTTCCACAGCCAGTGTACCCAGGAGTGAGTCGGATATATTTATTTTAACTAAGTATGTCTGATCTTTTTTGATCCCAACTGGCTGTTCCTCACTCCATCACCTGAATGAGGAACACTATCAGACTTAGTAATCCTACCTGCAATCTATAAAATTAACTTATAAGTTATTAGTACCTATGTTTTGTAGTTTACCTCAACGATAAATGACTTGCAGCACAGCTTGCAGATTCATAAAAAATACCTAATAATAACAATTTCATGTTTTGTCTGTATGGTTTGACTTTTTTATTAGTGTGGGAGAGCCAAGCTTCGGCACGAATGGGTCGGCTCGACCGGAGTGATACCACGGACTCTCAGAAAACCGGCGTGAAAGAACCGCAGCGTTTTGTTTCGCCGTTTGAATGAGGTTAACGGAGGCTTGATTTGATTTGCTCAATACGACCCCTCCCCTTCCCTCACCAATCCTTAAATATCCGAAACCCTAAGCCCCAAAAGGCGGGCAACGCACTCGTATCTCTTTTGGTGTTGCGGGTGTACATGGGCGGCGCCGATTGCTTACGATCAGGTAATCCGAATGCTCGACCTATCTTATAAAAAAAGTTGTTTGAATTAAAACTAAAGCTAGTACCTTAGTAAATGGTAGGTACAAATGTACCATCTTAATCCCGACAACAGAAACAAACTTATTTATTATGTTTTCGGCTTACTCACGTAATAATTTGACGAGATACTCGACTAGTTTCAAGCCATGCTAGAGGCCCATATTCATGAGCAGCATTCCGCGACACGCGACTCGGCGACCGTCGCGCTGCTACGCAGCAGCAGTACTAGTCGAGTATCTCGTCAAATTATTACGTGAGTAAGCCGAAAACATAATAAATAATTTAGAATGTCTCACGAAAGTTATAATAGAAACAAACTTATCAACTACTATTATACTTAGTAATACTTATGGACAGGTATCCAATCCTTTTACATTCTGAAACTCTGGAAGGACAGCTTACACTTGAACGAATACCGCGACAAACCGCGGTCGTTGACCCTTTACGCTACGTTAAGTAATTACTTACCTACCGGTTTCCCTGAAGTAGGTACCTACTACAAATTTTAAAATAATAAAAAATTAGAAAAATATATGTATTCGTTCATTTCATATGTATTATTCATTCATTTCATTTTATTTCAGAATTGTTAATTGTTATTAAGTTTTCTGAAGTTTAGAGTCATTCGTAGTTAAAAGGATTTTCATTTTAAAACGTAGACTACCCACGCACATGTAACCTAGGTCCTACAAAACACGGAACCCTAGATCCTACACTAAGATTCTCTGTACCACGTTTTATGTGATAAGTCGGCAAACGAGCAAACGGATTACCTGATGGTAAGCGATTAGCGTCGCCCGTAGACACCCTCAACGTCGGAGGAGTTACGAGTGCGCTGTCGACCTTTTGGGGATTAGGGATTTGGAGATTTTGGGAAAGGGAACAGATTGGGGTAGGGGAAGGATTGGGCTTCCGGTAACCTCACTCACACGGCGAAACACGTGGTATCACTCCGGTTGAGCCAACACATTCGTGCCGAAGCATGGCTCTCCCACACTTTTCCCGACCACTTCCGACTTTTAAAGTAAAATAAATCAATAAAAGTATACCTATATAAAAGTTGATGAGACTCAGATTACGTTCAGCCTGGAATTCTTTATCCTTACCAAATAATGGTATCTAATCAAATAATTATATTCTATTAACAAGCACCTTCTAAAACATAAATTCAAACAAACTGTGACATTAATAGCACAAACCACAAGATTGCACATCTCAAGCTTCATTCAATTAACTTTATTAGCCATGGACTATTTGCACACGTCCGTGTTAGATTGCAAATACATTGCTTCTATTAGCTTAGCACAAGCAGGAATGTTAATAGGAAGTAGTCAATGGAAATCAAAGTCGCTGGCTTACACTTATAGTCAGCTAGTACGTGATCGCACTCTCAATGTAAACGAGGCACAATCTGATCATTCCTTTGCTTATGAGTGCCGATGCTTCCTGTTATTGATGAATGAATCGATATATAAATCGGTATAGGGATCGATTGATCAATCGTTTGTTTTAAATAGGTCCAAATTGAATTCGAATGATGTACTGAACCGTTTATGATCTAAATCACTGGCTGTTAGTCATGAGTGATTTTTAATATAGAAGCTACACTATACACATTCATTCATTTTCAGGTTCATCAACGATTGCTTGAACGTACGTACCTATTTTTGACAGTTTATTCAAAACTTATATATTTTATAAGCCTAAAAACTTAAATAAGAACATCCGAAAAACAGTTTAGTGGAATTTTATGCTTAAATAAAACTAAAATGTAATCTAAAATTATCTTAATACTGTTTTTAGACTTATAATAGAGGAATAGTTAGGTACTATGCATAGAAACCCGCGTTCCATAAACGCTCTGACTTTAACAGAAGTCTATTTCTATTATTTTTCTTCTTTAGCCTCTTTTGAGAGACCAAAATAATTGTTCGAATGTTCTATAGTCTATTCGAAATTAATAATTGAATTTTACTTTGACATTGAATGACTCCTCCCGTCCTAGGTGAGGAACTGAGGAGAGAGAGTGTCTGACTCTTACTGTCTAAAAAGACCTCGTTTTCCAATTCCTGTTCCAGGCCAGGTCACGGTAAGTCATTGGGTTTGAACCGCAACCCGCAACATTAACAATTGTTAATTTAAAAACACTTGGCAATTTGTGGTTTTCATGATGAAAAAAATGGACTTAAAATAGTTACTACGTAGGTACCTTAACCTTTTAATTCTTTCACATCAGGCGATGATGAAATCAGAGAAACATTTTGGTGATTTCAATGACTGATAGTTCGAATTAGACCTACACTAATGATAGGCGTTGAAAGGATCAAAGAAAACTCTGCTATCACAATAAATAAAGGGATACATAAGTTAAAAACTTACAGCATTACGTATGCAAAGACCTTGTCTTATATTTATTTTTGTCATAGTATTTTTTATCTGTAACTCTTAGTTAAAGAATAATTCGGTAGTAATGTCCAGTCAAAACGAATTTACCAGCATTGGAGTTTTGTTTGTGAGGGAAATCTTGTGATCACTTCTACCCTAAATAGGATGAGAGGGAGTTTCGGACTTCCAAAGACTAGCCAGTTGTTCTTTCCCTGGCCCAAACATTAAAAAAGCGCAATATAATTGCCCTTGCACCCGTTACACTGGCTGAAAAAGTATTGCCACAACACACTGCACTTATCACACTAATTTTCTCCACTATGTATTTAATGGATATGATTATACCTACATTATAAAAGGCCCTCTTTAGTCACAATATTCTTAAAAAATAACACATGAAAATCAGTCGCGTAGTTTTAAAGATTTAAGCACAAAGCAAATGCGACTTTGTTTAATTCCTTGTAGTTATTATATTAAATTAAATTTAAATAAAAATAAAATACCTAATGTGACGAAAAACTAGAGGATATTTATTCGTTACATACTTACCAACGAAGGCATTGTTATAAGTACTCATAGTAGGCATTGATATTTTTAAAAACTAAACCAATTATGTTCGATAAAAGATTTTTTGTAGAGCCTATTATATATGTAGTTTTCTATTCACGGTCATCATTCAAAAATAGTTTTCCATTTAGCCAGTAAATTACTTCCCTCGTTAGTCAAATAACACACATTAACTATTGTTAGAACCTAACAATATAAAATTCTAAAGTTATTACATGATTTACATAGAATTTATTTTTAGAAGTATAATGGTATAACATAGACTTGTATAAGTAACTTGATATATCGGCACTTAAACCAATTTGTTTGCTTATTATTTTGTAATTGGAACGATTTGAATTATGAACTGTCGGTTTAAATTTACGTTTTCTAAATTTAAAATCTATGTACAGAATTGATTGTAGAGATTTCCTACAGGTAGATATGAACATTTGCTACCAAACTTCAGGTGTTTTGTCCGTATACCGTTTTACACAAGCAAGAAAACCCGGAGGTGACCATGGGTCGACTGTGTCATCAAATTGGGACAAGCCACCAAAGGACGGGTAGCAGCGCTGTTTAAATAATGGATCACATATTATCATAATTGTGATCTGAAGCGTAGATCCAACTCAATCAAAATACAATATATGTATTTATTTAGGTAAGGATATGCGATGGAAATAGTGAAAAATCAAGCCGAGTGGAGTTGGCTTTGAGAACGAAAGAAAATAAGGTTTGTTGAAATACATCATCTGTTAAAATTTCAATTGTCTACCTATCGTGGCTCATTAGGTACAGCTTTGTAACAAACAGCCTGACAG